TCCTTCTTCTCAAGGGAGTTACTCATTCTCACAGCTTCCACCATATAGATGACGCCCGTGGCATTATCTTTACCACTGATCTTCCTGCCAAGCTCATGGTCCCATATCTTCAATACCCTTGGGACTACTTCCACTTGGTCACATTATTCCTGTCCCTTCTCCTGCCTTTCCACCAAAATTTATCCATCCACTTACCTCTAAGTCTCAGGTCTCTTAAGAGTCCCACTATTCTCCCTGATACAGGTATTTAAATCTCAGAAATGGCACATAGTGCCCTGTGGATAACCCTTTCCTTAATGACTTTCCGCTGCTCTAAGAATGAAGTCCAAAACGGGTTCTGTGCCTGCTCGTCCCTTTTATAATTTGACCCTTTCCAAACTTTAGGAATCTTCTATCTAGTCCTCAACCACACTGGGCTTTTCTAAGTCCATGGAATGTGTCAAACTTTGCCTGCCTCGTGTCCTTGGCAAATACTGTCCTCTTGTCTAAAATGTTCTCCTCCATGGCCTGCGCCATCCTGGTCTCCCCCACCACATCATCAACCTAACACATTGATAATTTTTTAGTTGTGAGCTTTAGTCTTGTTTGTCTCACTAAGCCTTCCTTGATTTTCAGTTGGAGCTAGCGACCCCCCCCACCCCCGCCCCCTGCCCCACTGCTTGTAGAGCATCCCACACATTTCTTTCACAAAGCTAAGCGCAACTGACAAGTGCAGCCTGGTAGTGGTTTTCTGCACCAGGCTGTGGCCTCCGTGAAGTGAACGACTTGTTCATCTCCACGATGCCAGTGCCTAGCACATGGACAAACACTCAATAAGTTGAATAAAACGATGACGAATGAAATCACACTCTGGCGACTCCCTTATAAGCCACATGCAGTTGGCCACCAAGCCCTGAAATTTTTCTTGCTAATATCACTCCCTCCTTCCTTCCTGTCTCTACCATGCTTTCTACTCTTGCCCCAGTCCAAGAGTAGAAAGTCTTCAGTCATCATCTCTTGACTGGATTATTGTAACAGCTCAATGGTCTTCTTTGGATCTCTCTTTGCTGCAATTAATTTTGTGAGCAACTGCCAGATTCATCTTCCTTAAAAACATTCACCATGCTATTCCTTTCCTCAGGACTCCCTAATGACCCTTTCCTGTCTAGAGAACAAAGTGGAAAAAGTCACAGGATCTCAGAGTTGAAAGGAACCTTGAGTGTCATCTGCTGCAGCCACCTCTTGCTACTATTGAGGAAACTAAGGTTGAGAGGACTTGCCAAGGAACAAAGAACCAGTGTTTCAGTCTCCACGCAGAATGGCCATGAGGATTTGCCCGCTTAAAACACACCCGTGCTCTCCCACTGCACACAAAGGACAGCCCAAACTCCTTCCCATGGTCTACCCAGCATGGCATTATCTGGCTCCTACCAAGGGTTACCAACTTGTCCCAGTTTTCCCAGGACTCTCTCAGTTTTGAAACCGAAAGTCCCACATCCCAAGAACCCCTTCAGTCCCCTGGCAACCTGGGATGGCTGGTCACCTGGCTCCTCCCCACATCCTCATTCTCATCTCTTATCCGGCTCTGACTTGCTTAGTCCTCACCAGCCACATTCGGCTTGCTTTCTCTTTCTAGAACATGCTGTGCAGACTCGTTCCCACCTTGCACTTGCTACATTCCCTCTACCCACAGTTATTAGTATCTACTGTGCCTACCCAGTTATTTAGTATCAGAAACTAGCATCCCTGACTCACCATCCAGGGCTCTTTCATCAGCTTGGATTTCATTAGAATCGTTACAAATGCGACACTCTTGTAACCTGAATGCAAATCTTCTTTGTGTCCCTCCTGTACTGCTTCCCCTCCAGCCACTTTTGTGCTCAGAAATGGTAAGCATGTATTGATTAAAACATCAGTTGAATGAAAAACCCAAGCTCTGTCATTCCCATTGCACAGATTATTAAAATGGTAAAAAGGGAGATGTTTCGCTGGGAGTACTCCATGAGCTTGACAGCAAAGAAGGCAATCACGACAAAGTCTGAGAATACCTGTCTCTTTTTTATTTATTTGCATTACTCAATAGATTCCGATCTTACTCATTATAACAGCCCAGAGCCCTTCAGGCCAAGCACACCACAGTGATCTATTGTTGGGATAAAAATCTCCTGGTGATGACAGCCAGGATTGACAGGGATGTTTAAATCCTAAACTACACTTTGGACGACATTCAGCTTTTTGTCATGAAATTTCAAAATGCGACTGGAGCTTTTTCGAAGCTTTCCACATGGAGGAAATGCCAGCGACACAAGAGGACATGAAACAGATGTGGTTGAGCGGGAAGAACACTGACCTTTAAGGCCAAATACTTTGGGAGGGAGCGGAGCTCTGACTGATGAGCTGTGTGACTTCAGACCAGTCATTTGTTTCCCTAAGCCTCAACAGCTTCATCTGTAAAATGGGACCAGCAAGACTTCACCTCGGATAATACGGGATAATGCACGTGCTAGTCCCTTCAGCATCCTTCCTGGCACAGAGTAGATGTGCCCCAGGTTTTTATTTACAAAAATTTACTAACATCTGTATTTTCCATGAAGCTTTTTCCGAATCCAAATATTCCTTTATTATAAGTCCCTGAAATTCAGACACAATGCTATTTTCTTTTATTTGCTTATTGTTTTGCAAGTTTTGTCTGGCTGTTTAGTCTGTGTATATTTGAATATTCCAACAAACATAAGCTTTACAAAATCCACTCTTGTCTTTACCTGTTCAACATTTCTCTGATTTTTACACTTCATACTATGCCCATCTCATTCTGATTTGTACTCTGACCAGTTCATTTCCTAGTGAGTAACTGAGGCACTGTAAGAAGGCTTGGGGAAACACAGACCAATAAATCCTGTCCCCTGCCCTATGGGAACCCAAAGTCCAGTAGGAAGACAAACACACAAGGATATAATTTCAGCAATGTGATAACTTTTATATCTGAGTACAGTAAGAGACACTGTGAAAGAAAGAGAAACATAACTTTTTAATCAAAGGGGGAAACATTTAACTTTTCAATCAAAGGGGGAAACATTTAACTTCACATGGAGTAGTCCAGGAGGGCTCCGTGGAGGAGGTGACATTTGACCAGTGATTTAAAAGATGCATAAGAGTTTACCAAGGCCATTATGAAGGTAAGAAGTTACATACATGTCATTTACAAGCCCAGACTGGTAAGGCAGAGACCATCCCTTCATTTCTTGTCTCTGCAGCCAGACTGCAAATTCCTTAAAATTTGGAAAAGCATCTCACATTTCATTGGACAGCCTATCGTCTGTAGCAAAATAATGGCTCAGAGAAATCTTGTAACCAATCCTTATGATAAATGACCTCTACTTTTAGCTAATGTATAGTAAAAGTAACAAACTCTGAGGTCAGTGGAAAACTATAATTAAACATTCATATTTCAGAATGAAAAGTTACATCAATCAACCTAGACCCAAAACTGAAAATAGACCAATTTTTTTTTAACTTGGCAGAACAGAGTTAATAGAATATGGGAGGCACTCTTTTCAACTAGCAAAACAGTTTTCCTGGACTGTTGAAAAGCATCCATTAGCTCATCTCATATCATCCTCTTCCTTTTAAAAAACAATAATTTCATTGTTAAAAATGACTCACACTTACTCAATTTAAGTAATAGAGAAAATTATAAAGAAGAAAGTTTAAAAATCATCCAATATCCCAGCATGGAGAAATAACTCTAACCTTTGTTGAATTGTATTTCAGTGGTGTCTCTATCCATACATGCGGATTGAAATAGACAGTGGGTGGATGGATGGATGGATGGATGGACGGATGGATAGATGGATGGATGGATGGATGGAAGAAGTATATTCCTTTTTCTCCGCGAGGCTAATGATCTCTCCCCTTCTAATGAATTTACCTGCCTGACCAGCAGTCAACAAGAGGAAATGGCCTACTCTCACATAGTGAATTTCTGTATTTTCCAGATTCCTAAAGTTGATTTCCAGAGGGGTTTTGGAAAACCTTCCAGGGATGGTGTCAAAACACCCAGCTGAGAAGAGGAGAATAAAACCAAGGCAGTTATTTTTCATCATATCAATTAAAATCTATGGATGGCTTATGGGTTTTCTGGGTTCTTAGGATAGGAATAAGACACTATTTAGATTCACTCTTTCATGTTACAGTGAGGAATAAGGAGACTGGAAAGAAAATCTTATTGTCCAAACTTCTAAAATGAGGAGAGGACAGGAATAGGACTTCAGCTCAGGTCTACTCCTAGTAACACCCATCTCAAGGGGTGTTGTGAGCATTCAATAAAATAATATTGATAAAGTGCTTATTTCTGAGCCTGGAACATAGTAGAACCCAGCCCCTGCCCACTCCCCAGTGTTGTAACTAATATTCCCACATCATTATTATTTTGTTGTCTGCACTGACGATATTCTTTGCACCACATTTGCACACCATGTTCTTTTAAAGAAGCTGGAAACATGAGCTGTGTAACTTTAAAGAAACTTCTTCAATTTAGTAGAAGCAAAATGATTTCCTGAGTTACTTCTGCTGCAACTCAACTTAGCATTCTTGATACTTTTTGATTTGGAGGTATAGGTCAGGAAAAACATGTCACAGCAACATGTCAGCACAGAACATTCGTGAAGCAGCATTACCTCATTACTCTGGACTAGAGTCTCTCAATCTTGGCACTATGGACATTTGGGTCTGATCATTCTCTGTTGTGGGAGCTGTCCTGTGCATTGTGGGATGTTTCACAGCATTCCTGGCTTCTACCCACTAGATGCCAGTAGTAACTCCCCAGTTGTGACAACAAAAATCGTCTCCAGAAATTGCCGAATGTCCCTGAGGGTAGGGGGCAATCAGCCCAGACTGTGAACAAATGCTGTAGACCCTGGCGAGGCAAAGTTCTTTGTGTCTCCAATAAAAAAGGCAAAAGGGATTTTTGGGTTTTTGTTTGTTTTTTAGACAGATGCACTCAGTGCTGAATAATTTTCTAGGAGTCGTCAGAGGACATGACTTCATGGACGTCTCTGTACCCAGGGGAGGGGAAAAAGATCTCGGAGCGGTGATAAAACCCATGTCACCAGTATTGGATCAAGGAAATCAGCTCTGGGCTTTCCTGACCTGCACCTTTAAGAATTACAAGAACAGGTAAATCCACGAGATAGACCCCTCCCCCAGAGCCAGCCCTTCTTTCTAAGCCACGGTAAATACCAAAGAAGAGGACAGGAAACCTTGCAATCCTTTATTTTCATCAGACGCACTAACAGGAAAGAAGGGGGCGGGGGACGGAACAGGACTGCTTTGACTTTTCGGTTAACTTGAAACCTCGATGCATTGCCAATTATGGCAGCTGTAGTTGCTTTATCTTTTGGGGACATGAGCAGTTCACGAATTGTGAATTTTAATTTTCCAGTCCAAGTTCAGACGGCTGGTTAAGCAATGTCTAGAAGCTTCTGAAGGGTAGTCACTAATTAATGAACATTAAGCCCTAGTTTTGGAGACATCTGAAACAAAGCAGGACAAAGCTCTCTGCTCTGTGTACTTCGAGGACGGATCGGAAAGCTCCAGAGGAGGGAAGAAAATTGACGGTAAACAAAGAGGCCGGTCCTCTCTTGAGTTCCCATGATTCACGAATTCATCAAGTGGAGGGATTTTTCTCTTTAAGTATGACTTTTATTCTGAGAAAAAGCTATCATTTGAGGAGTCAACTATGTATGTGCTATTTAGCCATATAAATGTAAGTGTTAGCATCTTACTAATCCAATGGAAAACTGTTTTGTTCTAACAGTTTCAAAACTTCCCCATCCCTCAAACCAACAGTACCCATTACTTTAAACACCTCAGTGTCGAGCAATTGTTCAAAAATGTGTCAGGCTACCAGTAATTTAAGTCCTGTCAAAAATAAATCTCAGACACTCACTTCTTCCAGTCAGTGACTTGAAAAACACGCCCACATGTCAATTACCGGAAGCTGTAGCTGTGTTTCTTTGTTCTGAATTTGTGTAAACAGAAAAAGGTTCTATCTCAGTAACAACTGTTTTCTAAAACCTATATAAATGTTTACGTGAACTTCACTGCAACAGCATCTAACAGAAGCAATAAAAGCCACCACATTGGTAAACGCACGCGCAGGCACGCGCGCGCGCACACACACACACACACACCCCTCTGTATGTGCCTCTGGGTAATAAATGTACAACTGTGAAAGAACAATGTATTGACTTGTGAATTATTCTTTTCCCAGAGGCCTGACCTTAAAGTATTTACATTTTATATTGTAAATCAAAATGATCTACATTTTTAGAAGCTAACCATCACTGGCTCCTTTCCGTATTATCCAAGAGATTGCTTCACAGATAATTTCAAAATCACGGGTAAATAAATGAGTAGAAAAAACTGTGACTATAAAACAGAAATAATTCACAAAATTGGCAGCTAATTAAGATAGGCTATTAGACAGAGTTTCTCTGTGTAAAATTGTTCTCTACAACTCAGGCTGATAAATCTTGTGAATAGAATCCTGCCTTTACTGCAATGTATATATGGTTGTAAATAGCTATAAATCAAGCTATAGATTAGGAGTGTGATTTTCTAATGTTTTGCCTTTCTAATATAAGTTTTTTTTAATTGAAGAAGATTGTAATCATTTAATCATAAAATCACCAATGCCCACTACATTCTATAGTCTCCATGAAGGTTTTTCTTGCTAAATCAAATGATTGAATTTCAACGAGAGAAGAAAAGAAAAGTAAATTTGGCTGACCTGATCTTAATTGTTCCCTCCCTCCTCCCTGGTTCTCAGCTGTACGCACTAAAAAATAAATACAACTCAGAAAAATACACAGATGGACAATGCAAAGATGTTGGAATGAGACCCTAAGTGGTCTTCTTTCCAGGAGTAAATTAGAATAAGTTGATTTTCATTAAGCAGGAACAGATCAATATTTCATTATTAACATGGTGACAATTTCATGTTAATAAGAAGTCATCTTTTTTCAAGCGTCTAACTGCCAAGCCGCTGGATTAATGGCTTCCCTTATCCAGTGGAGTCTCTTTACATTTCCTCTCTTGTTCTGTGGACACTTGAGCAGCTGTGTGTGTGTGTGTGTGTGTGTGTGTGTGTGTGTGTGTGTGTGTGAAAGCATTGACCTTTTGCTAGGCAGGATTAGGAAACACCTACTAATGTTTCCTTCAGGAAGCAAGGCATTTTGCTAACCTGTTTCCCCTTAGGTTTCTCTTCCCCAGAATGTTCCCCATCAACTTGTTTGTCATTGGGATTTAGATAATGATCCTGTTTGGCAGACAGTAGTTTTACGGATAGAAGTAAAATCTTTTTTTTTCTTTCGGGAAGGACAATACTAAGATAAATCATTAATTAAAGGGGCTGCATATGGGACAGATGGAATTCTACCCATGTGGCTGCCTCCCCCAACAGTTGAGGGGTAAAAAGCCCCATAAATCACTCATGGTCTAGCAGCCTTCAATAGGGACCGTCTTGCCCCTTCTGAGTGATGATAAACAACACGCACTCCCAGCGCAGCCCATTAGGTATTCCAGAGGAGGTGAACTATGAGATAACGCATTTATCCTTCTTGGGAAGGTATCTCTCCATGTTTCACGTGGCGCAGAGAAAGCATCGCCAATTGAATGACGGCTAATGAGGATTAATGCATTATTCCACGGAGGATTACGGGCTCTTCTCTTTTGTGCAGTAGTTAAATAATAACAAAATGAGATAAAATGGCTCCTGATGCTTCCCTGAGCGGTAAAGCCGACACCATGTACACTTGCCTTGACTTTTCTTTCCTTTTCTTCCTCATTTGTTCTTCTATTTTTTTCTTTTTTTGAGGTCTCTTAGGTGTTCCTCTTCTAAATCCAGTCGGCATGGTCTTTGCCTCTCAGCTCTTTATGGGGACAAGAGCAACAGGAAATCTTCAACAGACTCCTTCACAAAGTCAAAAAGTTGCTAGGTACTAAAAACAAAAGGTCACCCAAAAAAGGGACAATTTTCCCAAGTATTAAAAGTCACATGAGTGTCTTAGAGGACTTAACCATACCGTAATCTAACTTTGTATTGAGGAAATCTTTTATTTATTCATTCAATAATGATTTATTAAGGACCTACCCTGGGCCAGAGAACCTTTGCTTCTATCTTATGCAAATGGATTGATACGATTTAAATAATCCCACAAAGAAATGGCCCACTGTGGTAAATGCCACAGAAGGAGGACCTTGGGGGATGCCAGAGGAACTAAGTCTGGATTTCAAGGCAGGCTTTGCTACGAAAGTAACACTTGACCTGAGGATGAAGCTGCTAAGTGTGGAAGGGAATGAGGAGAGGCAGACAATTCAGAAAGAATGTATTACTTGCCAAGAAAAAAGTCCTAAAGTGGAAAGAGGCATGATAATTCAAGTAATTGATAGAAGGTCAGTGAGTTTGGGGTACAAAAAAAATGAGGGGGACAAGGACAAAAGTTGGGGCTGGGAAGATAGCCAGGGGTCCGGGTTTGTTGGTGATGGTAAAATGCTGGATTATTGTCTGAATAAACTCAGTGTTGTGGGTTGAACAGCGTCCCCCCTAAAAGCCATGTTGAAGTCCTCAGCCCGGTATCTATGAATGTGACCTTATTTGGAAATAGGGTCTTTGCAGCTATAATGAAGTTAAGATGATGTCAGTAGGGCGGGGACTAATTCAACACGACTGGTGTCCTCATAAAGCAAAGGAAATTTGTCCACAAACACAGAGAGAGGAGCTGCTATGTGAAGACACAGACACACACAGATGCCACATGATGATGGAGGCAGAGACTGGAGTGATGCCAAGGATTGTCAGCCACAGTCAGAAGCTAAGACGCAAGGAATAATCGACCCCAAGAGACTTTAGAAAGGGCATGGCTCTACCGACGCCTTGATTTGGGACTTCTAGCTTGTAGGACCGAGACAATGAACTTCTGTTCTTTGATGTTACCCAGTTTGGGGTACCTCGTTTCAGACCCTAGCAGATGAATACACCCAGGAAGCCACCGAAGAATCTTAAGTGAAGGAAGGAGCTTCAAAGCAGGGGAGTGACATGTTACATTTTCAAAAGACCCCCTCGACAGCAAAATGAACATCACCCAACAGGAGACGGTCAGAGATGGAGTGGGGATGTGTTCTAGAAGGCTCTGAAAGCGGGGGAGAGCTGTGGGGTCTGGGAGTGGGGACGTTCGCCAAATGTACATTCTTGGCATGGAAGATGATGCAGAGGGCTAGAGAGAGCGTGCTTTTCAGTGGCATTTCTCAAATTTAGGCACATGTATTTATATTCTACACGGAGATGTAATCTGCAGACCCCAACTGGAGCCTTTGAATGATGTTAGAATAATTTTGCCATTTCACACATTGAGTTGTTTTTCTCTGAATTATAATTGCTTTTTACATAATGAAAAACCTGCTCAAGAATGACAAAGCATAAAGAACTACTTCTCACCTCCTTTAAGACTATAGCAGAATAGGATGTGATTGAAAAAAAAAAAATCAGTTCAATTAGGAATAGTCAATGATTCAAGAGATAGTGGAATCTGGACTCTCTATTCCCAGGTCCCCAAGAGGCAAGCTATTGACATTATCATAAATGGACCAAAGCAATTCACAGGTCCTCATCCAGCCATACAGATTGCAGCAAAATAATCATGGCACACTCCTTCAGGAATCTTCAATGGTGGGTAATGTTTTTAACATCGTTGCTGTATAATGTCTTTGAAATATGAGCAGGGGGTTTCCTGCTCCTCTCAGGGGCCCTTCTTTTGCTGTGTCTCCTCCAGCCCCATTCTGTAAGAGGCAGACCTTGCCCCAGAGGAGGTGTCCTGGGGTAGAAAGCAAAATCAAGGAACCAAAGTCTTGGTTTGGGGATTTCAAAAGCAGACATCCTAGCATTTAAAAAAGTAGCTTTAGGAGAACAAAATATGATAGGTCAGAGGTTTATTTCACCTCCATCTCCCACTTCCCTTTATCCAAAAGATAAGGACCCCCGGGTATTGAGAGGAGCGTATGCGTTACGGGAGAGTGAAAGGAGGAGCAGTCCTGGATATTTAGACATCGGAGTGTTTGAGAAGGGCTCTGTGCTCTGTCTCCCAGTTGCCATTTGCTGGGCTGAATCTTGGCCACTGGTGGGGTGGGGTAGGGTGGGGTGGGGAGAGGTACGGTGGGAGGCAGCGTATAAATTCATCCTTCAGATGAGTTTGGGGATTCAAGAGCAGAAGAATCTTTTGTTCCAATGCCTTGTGGAGAAACCTCACCTCCCCTAACCCACACATCATGGTGCAGGGGCAGAAGACCAGACATACTGACATGCTGTCACTAAGGAAGAGCATCTGAGACATTGTTGGAAAAGTACCAGCGGTTCCAGAATGGCCTTCAATCAGAGATCAGAAGGGAAACTGTACATCCCTGCAAGAGTCAGTGTGGACACAAGGTCATAACTGGGGACCACATATGGCCTGCAAATCGTTGGATGTCTACAAGCCCCCTGGAGGTTGGACACAATCCCAGAAGTCCGAATTGCCCCAGATCCCCTGATTTGACTCTGATTAAGTTCTGTCATCCAATGGCACAGGTGCTCATAATAAGAGAAAACATAAAATTAGGTTTCTTGCCACTTGGCTTGAGGCCTTTACATTTATGTTTGCTGTATGAGGCTACTTCTCATGGTAGCACTTCTTGGGAATAAAATACATGCCCATGCATTCAACAGCAAGGCATCCAGAGAGCATGCACTTTAAGCTGCTTCCCCTGGGGTGGGGATGGGCTGTGTTCAACCATCTATGACGTCACTGGAACTGTGATAATATCTCCATTCAGCCACACATTTTGTTCTTTAGAATACATTGGTTTGTAATATCTCTGAAATTGGGATTCCTTGGGATTTGAATATTACGTTTTATTATTCTGTTTTTGCCTTCTACTTGTACATGCTTTTAAAGCTTTTCAAACTCCTTATCTCTTTTTGTCCCTTCTATAGCTGTTCAAAGTAGGAGGGAGAGATACCATGCTCCCTTCTGACAGACGAGATGACTAAAGCACAGAAAGATTTGGTAGCAAGTCCAAAGTCACAGAGCATAAAATAATAATCATCGCAACAACAATTTGTAAGCATAATAATAATCATTGCTACTTTTTAATTTCTTGCTGCCTGTCTGCTAACAGCTCTTCCTGCATTATGATTATGTGACAACAACTCCATAAGTAGGTATTATTCTTATCATCAAACTGCAGATAAGACAACTGGGGCATAATGAGGTTAAGTGCACTGACAAAGATCACATAAATGAAGTGGTGTTGTAAAGTACATGCAACTTACATACTGATTTTTAAACTTAACCCTCAAGGAAGGTGCCATCCACTGTTTCATTTAAACCTTGAAACATCAAATAAATCTATTCACATGTATGAAGTTTAGACAGGCTTACTATTACCACTGAATAGAGTAAATCCCGCGGGCAAGCCCCCGTCTCGCCATCTGCCCTCCACACTGAGGGTTTGATAGTATCTTGAAGGCAGGATGACTCAGAAGTCCAACCATCTGCATATAGACTTTGTTTTTAGTTTTTCCTTTAGCACAGCAGTTCTCGAACTTTAGTAGGCATAAAAACGATGAGAGGGGCCGGCCCAATGGTGCAGCGGTTAAGTTCTCATGCTCCGCTTTGGTAGCCTGGGGTTTGCTGGTTCGGATCCTGGGTACGGACATGGCACCGCTTGGCAAGCCATGCTGTGCTAGGCATCCCACATGCAAAGTCGAGGAAGATGGACATGAATAATGTTAGCTCAGGGACAGTCTTCCTCAGCAAAAAGAGGAAGATTGGCAGCAGATTAGCTCAGGGCTAATCTTCCTCAAAAATAGTAAAAAAAAAATGTGTGAAAAAAATCTAGGAGAGAAGGCTGTACACAATTGTGAATGTGTTTCTTTGTGTGTGACATGATTGATAACGAATTTTGATCTCCTAATGGCATAGGGGCTTCAAAATTTTTTAATTCGGGAATAGAAAAAAAAGTGAACGTTTAAGGATAGAAGATTTAAGGAAATTTCAAAGATAAGTTTGACTTTTTGTGACTCCTTCTAACGGGCTGACTTCAGAACCCAACCCTCACATAAAATGGGGAGCTACTTTAAAGAGTAAGAGCTGTTAAGACTTGGGGCCACATGTGTCCATCTCCAAAACTCTTCTTTATTACCATTTGGCCTTCCAAACCGGGGCCAGAGATCTCCTGTTCCCACTTCTAATGTTTGAGGTTTTTCCTTATTCTAATCCAGTCTAGCATAGAGCTAAAAAAGTGAATAGATAAGTGGCTGTGTCACAAACACCTGTTGACTATCCTGGTGGTTGACCAAAAATAACACTGATTTGATCCTATCTGAAATTCTTATTTTAAATGCCTCAAATAACCCTCAATCTTGCCGGCTCTTGAGAGCCAAGTGCCTTCCATGTAGATACAGTAATTTGCTGTATCCCTATTGCGAAACTTAACTTGAGGCTACCAGCTCTAACACGCAGTAGCACAAGCAGAATGTCAATTTCCTACTGAGTTCAGACGGGTCTGTTTCAGACTGCTATTCAATATATATGCTGTTTGCTAACACTCACCTGTAAATTTGTGTTTATTCTTCCTTCCTTGAGCTCTAAGTGCAATCTATTTTAATTTCGCCCCTTGCCAAATATTCAGCTGCTGACAAACACACATTCAAATTTCCTTGCATATTCATGCCTGTGATTTTGTGCTCAAAATGAGTTCTTGGGCAAATCAGTTTTGATTTTGGCACGCACGCACATCCACGTGTGCACACACAAACACACACACACACACAATTTCCATTCGCCTACAATGCAGGTAAGAGTTTAAGAAAGATGTAAGAGTTTAAGAAAAGATGAGAAGTATGTCTTGAAATAACATATCAATGTCCAGTACCCCTACTTAAGTAATGAGAATTACACTGTGGGGTCCCATCGTCCACAAGAGTTGAGTTTGAAAAACAGTAATACATTTATAGTTAAAAAATACACCCTTAAAATCTCTAAATTGTTCATAAATTTTTATACTTGATTTTATGTATATATCCCCATGCAATGATATCTGTTAAAAATGTATAATATCTACAGTAATGTGCATATACAAAATATATGCAGAAGAGTTTGAGTATTTTACAGTATTTAAAATGTTTTGCCTAGTGCATATAGTTGTAAACATCTCAATTAAATGTGTGTATGTTATAACTCCCCAATATTCTGAAGTAATATTGCCACAAAATAATTATTAGGATGGTTATATTCACTTTTATTATTTCCTTTCTGAATTTGCGCTATCCCAGAATTTTCTCAAGCTTAGTGTTTTGTGCTCAAGAACCTTACACACTATTTTTGGTGATTATCTCTTGTGTTTACATGGCACTTTACTATTTGCCAAGCAATTTCCTGTAGACTATCTTATTTTATCCTCTGATGGCCCTGTGGGAAAGATACTATTAATTTCCATTTTACAGACGAGCTGACA